AAAAAAAAAGCAACCCTGATATGTGACTTGCCAGAAACCAAAGCATGTCAATGCAGTCATTAGGCACTTGCACATTTCATTGCATCAAAATGATCTTCATGATATATTGCCATTTAAGTATCAGTAGCTACGTTTTTTTTTTTTTCGTTTGCAGCATTTTTTTCCCTTTCTTTCTTAGGCTATTGACAAGAGAGTTAGCATAGGTACTCCCAAGTTACTATGCTTGCTTTGAATATTTTGGTAAACCTGTAGAAAATGAGTCAATGTCATCATCCGTTCAAGTTTACCAGAAAATACTGTCCATGGAAATCGAGGACTATCATAATAAGACAGTGAAATCGGAATAGGTTATGGTAAACAGTCTGGTTTGCAGAATAACTAGTCTCATATCGTGGATCTTACCAGTCATGCACAGTGGATTTCAAGCTCAATTAATGGCACAAAAGAGTAGAGGATCATGGTCAAATCCAAAGAATGATGAAAGGAATTCTCCATGATTCTGGTGCATTTTTGTGGGAAAGTATGCAGAAATATTTTGCCAAAGATTGTGTTATACTTGAAAAGCAAGGAAGGAAGTGCATATTAATACAAAAAAAGCCAGTTTACTTAGATTTTTTTTTTCTGGGTTGTAGCAGCTGTATTTGCAGTAGTCTAAACTTGGTATTAGAAAAATGTGTTAAAAGTCTCTTAAACAGGAGAAACTGCTTAAATTAATAGGTTTTGTATTCACATTAAAGTATCATAATAAATTTCTGCATGTATCTTGTCTTGCAGGAAGATAGGATATGAAGAGCAGCCTCAAACTGTTCTGAAATGGTATGCATATAATCAGCTGTAGGGTTAAAATAAGTCTGTAGGAATTGAAAAGAAAGGGTTTTTTAGTATATGTATTTTATGAACTGAAACAGTTAAATCCCCTTGGTGGAAAAATACAGTCAAAACTTGAGTCTCTGTTGATGAAGTTCTCTCAAATTGTAAAGTTGTCTTTAGAATTATTAATTTTTGTACCTCTTTAAAGAACCAGGAAATAATAGTGATTTCTAGGGATATTGACAAGCTATTGCAGCAGTAAAACTGAATTTCATAAAATGTTTTTAAACATGCATTAATCTCTTTAAAAGCTAGTGATCTACTTAAGCTATTTCTGTAGGAGACTTGCATATAAATGCTTTTAACTTTGTTCCTCAGACTTTTTCAGTTTCTTATTTGTGATTGCACTTCAGTCCTACAGTCTCGCTCAGGTAACCGTCGCAGTCATTGCAAGAATGTTTCCTTCTGAAAATCAGATATGTTCACCTTCTTTGCAGGCAGTTTAGCAGTCATTTTTTTCACACGGGATAATCCTGGAACAGCTGGTGAAAGTGAGGCTTCCTTTGTGCACAGCCTGTCTCCACATAATACTCTAGGATGGTTAGTTTCCACATTTCTGGTTAAGTTTTGGCATATGTAGGACAGTGCAGTCAATCATGCTGAGTTTGTTATTCAAAAAAGGAAGATTTGATATTTTTTTTTCCCCTAGAACGCACATAACTGTCTCAGAAGTTTTGAAACAAACTTACATATAGTCCAGAACAGTTACCTTAACTGCAAATCAAAGTGAGGGGGGTAGTAGGAATACTTTTGATAAAAAAAGTTTAGTTATAATTAAGTAAATTTAAAGATTTATTTAGATAAACTTTTTTACAGAGCATTCTCTGTGTAAGTTCCTGTAAAGATTCCCTGTATTCAGTGCATGTTTGTAAATGGAAGGATTCAGAATGTTAGTGAGGTCAGGACTTGAGTTACCTGTGCAGACGACAACTCTTAAGGATACAAATGCCTTGTGCCTTAAATATATCAAGTCCTCTGTGGTACTAGTGCATTATCTTATCACAAGGGGTTACTGTCTGTTTGCGATCCATATGACCAATGATATATTCCACAAAAATATTTGAGACACAGTTGAATCAACACCAGCTGATTTAAGCATACTGCTGCCCAAAAGGGTACCAGATGAAGTTTTAAATCAAGATGAGAATTATGATTAAAACTTTTAAGTTTTATTCTGGATCAGTAAGGAGGAGGGGGGGGGGGGGAGAGAATTTTTTTGGAAATGGAAAAAATATATTACTCCTAAGGGCTTTTTAGTGTCTAAGAAGCATGTATAGATTTTCAGCCTCAGTGGATTCTCCCTGATTTTTTCTATCTTGGATGTTATGCTTTCCTTGAAATTCTAGCGCTAATATTAACCATGGAAAAAAAATGTCAAAACTTTTGCTCTTGAGTATTGGGATCATTTTTCAGTTATCAGTTCTGTTTTGGTGATTGAGGCTATTGATATCAACCAACTAGTGCCACCTAAGGTTATTGTACTTTTTTCCTTGTAACTGACTTGTCACTGCAGATATACTAGCCTGTTGTATACCTAGAGGTTATGCTACAGCTGCTTACAGGTCTGGTTTTACTTTTCAGGCTTACAAAATGTGAATTGTGTACTAGCAAAGGATAGTGCTCTGTACCAAAGTTTATCATGCTCAGCCCACAGAATTGTTAGTTGGATTATTTTAAAAGTACATAAAACATATTTTTGTTATGCTTTAAGTAATATTTAGCTGCATTGCTAAATGTAACCAGATAATCTATAAAACTAGACAATACATAGCCATAAAGCCAAAGGCCTCATTATTCTCTTTCAGTGTGTTTTCCATCCCATCAGGTTCCTTGTAGAAATTAAGTGATAGCAGTCATCCTTCTCCTTTGTGCTCAGTTTATCAGATCTTTTTATGCTCGTAAGCATTAATGCCATTTCAACAGTAGTAGGTTGTTGCGTTTCCTTCCTCTTGACCTTCTTTTTCAAGAAAAGGAAAAAGTGTTCATTTCCCAGATTTATCCTTCATTCTATGAGTCTTGCTTTCTTACTGATTCTTAAGATCTATTTCTAAATAAATGTGTATCAAAAACTGTTCCGTTTACACTATGGGCTGCCTACTGTTCTCAGGGTTAGAGTCTTCCACATGGGAGAGCATTTAAAACATACTTACTACATTGCATTGCTAATCATAGTATAGATAACTTATTTTCTTAGTGAAAAGAGCTTTTTGAAATGCAACCTTTGCTTTACTGAGTCTGCACTTTCAAACTTGCTGATCGCTGACTTTGGTACTACATTGGTAAATAAAAACAAATCTTCAACATTTATGCAAAATTTCTTTTATAATACCTGCTTTTATTTGCTAAATAAAAATTTATCTTGCAGAATGAGCAAGACTATTTCACTTTGACTCTAGGAGACTTCATGTGAGATGTCTAGGTTTCTGAGCTACATATGTGTAGATGTGATATTGGTACACTGAATCTGTCTTCTAACAAAATCTATAGTGATTCCACACTACATAGGGAACAAGATTAAATTTCACTAAGGGATACTAAACTTAGTCAATCTGTTTACAGATTAATTGTAAAACTAAGTAAACTAAGTTTACTTACTAGTAAATTACAGTTTACTAACTGTAAAACGGATTAAACTAAGTTTACAGGTATCCAGATCTTCTACTTTAAGTTGGAAAAGTTATTACTGGAGATTCTACACTCATGTAGTGTAGTCATTTTCCTCTGTCATTTAATCTCTGGATTCTCCTAATCATATTGCTGGAAACTGTCTTGTTTTTCTGTAATTTTATGAAATGTGAAGATCTGATGTGTGTATAATCAGTTTAGGCAAAGCTAGCTTAGATCTGTCTTGTGTGATTTGCTCTTTACCTAATAATTTACTGCCGAAGCTTTCACTGCTAGTTAGGGTTCCCTACTACTCACACACCCAGGTTTCCTCACAGAGGAAATCCCTAGGTCCCTGAGGAGTTGGAGTGAGTCTAAGCCCTGTTTACAGATAGAATCTCTACTGAGGGCATCCACTCAAAAGATGGTGTGGTACAGCCCATTAGCTTTCACATATTCAGGTCCTGCTTTCAGTTTACCGAGAGTAATGTCTTTAAGTATTAAGCAAATCTACCTTCTCAGTAATATCAAAGTTCCATACTTCTAGCAGGTAACGCTTCCTTCCGCACCTTTTGGGTAGTAGAGGAATACTTTGGGTTTTCATTGTTTATTGATATTTTCATGCTATAACTAAAATTCCCTTGAACATCACCTAATGGGTTTCATAATGTCTCCATGTACTAATAGAGATGTGGGAAACAAGTGGCACCAATCTTTTCTTACTAGTTAATCTCTTTGCCTTATTTGTACTCTTTGCTTCATTGTTTACTTTTTTCTCACCTTAAGGCAATGACTAGATTTCATTTAGTTTGCTTTTTTCTGCATTAAGATTTCATGTGGCATGGCTTAATCATTCCATTCCTAATTTTATGAATGTAAAGATCTTTCTGTATTCATGGAGAGATTTACTGGTAGATTCCTACACTTTCCTGTACCTCAAAACTGCCATTGCAACATTGGAATGCTTATTCAAGCTAGTATTTTGTTTTCATCATTATGATTCATCATCATTTCCAAAAAATCTTATTACTTCAATTCTTGTTTTACTTACGTTCTCAGCCCATGCTTGTCTCTTGTGCATATCTGCATAGACATCTCAAAATGCCATTTAAAACTTTGACTTAATTGCATCAAGTAGATTTTTTTTTTGTATAGACAGTGTATTTTTCCCAATAATAAAAAGTTTTGGCTAGCAAAGTTCAAATAAGTGCTTGCAGTTATTCTCTGCATGCTACCCATTGTTGAAAAATACTTTAATACTACACTCTGAGGAGGATTTTTTCCTCCCCTTAAACATGTCACTACAATGAAGACAATATTTTGATGGATAAAGTATGTCTGAAAGAAGTACTTACAAATGGAAAACTTACCATGGGTAAGTTAGGACACACTAAGAGCAGTATGATTTAATTAGTACTATCTGTAATTTCCTTTTGCTGTCTAATGTCATTGAGGAAGGAGTAAGGATAGAATGATACTAAGATACTCGGTTAATACTGTTCTGGTTTTGTTCTTTTCTTGCATAGGCTATCCATTCTGTGGCTTGGCATCATGAAGGAAAACAATTTATTTGTAGTCACTCAGATGGTACCTTGACCATATGGAATGTAAAATCTCCTACTAAACCATTCCAGACAATCACTCCACACGGTAAGGTGAAAATAGATACCCGCTGTTTGGCAGCTTTTAAAACACAGAGAACTTATCTTTAATAGAAGTGTGTTTTGCAAAACCAAGTATTAAAAATGCACTTGCAGTGCAAGTAAAAAGCTTTCTGTCATCTAATTCTGATAGATTTCATTAAAAAAAAAAGCCCAGTCTTTATTAAATAAGAATCCAAAGCAGTGCAGTTTTGTCTAATTCTCAGAACTTTAAGCTGGCCTTTCACATGATGGCATTGATCTCAAAATTAAGTAATGCATATTTTACAGGGCTTGCTTGTTGCTTGACGTTACAATCCCATATGTTGTTTAAAATACATACAAGCAAGCATCTGTTTCATGTATAAATGTGTAGATTACCATATAAACTCTTGGAAAGGTTTCTAACAGAGTAAAACTAGCATCTGGTAAGATGTTCCCACTTCTGAAACGTCTTGCATTAACGTTAATCTAGGAAATTAACATTACATGTTGCTCTTCTGTGAAATATGCTGCTGCTCTTCAAAAATGTTCTATACAAATGCCAGGTTTACACGGCGTGTCTAAGTCATGTCTCAGCAACTTATTTACCTCAGATTCTTAAGTGTGAATGTAACAGTGAGAATAACTTGTGAGGTAACAGTCGTGGTACAAGATGCTATAAGCATAAGATGTTAATCATCCTAGTTTACCTATTTGAGCCTCCAGCAAGTCCATGTTTACTGTGCTGGCTGTGGACTAGAGTAGAAAAGAAGCTGTGGATTTCTGTATGATCCCATAGAAGTCAAAAAATAAAAAAACGACTGCTACTGTAGTAGTAAAACTAGTTAGACAAGACTAACTTTTTTAATGTTTCGGCCTCTTTTAATAAACATTTTTATTTTGATCTTGGGCTGCAAATTAAATTTTCTGCAGAAAACTTTATAGTTGTATCAGACTCTATCAATATTCAGGTAGAAAAGATGCACATTTACACTATACTCTTAATTTCTACTGACTCCATGGGAAAGTTATCTGTAGAAGCTTTAGTTGCTAATAGTGCACGGTAGAGAAAGAGCAGGCCTTCATGTTTAAATTCAAGTCTTAGCCCTTAAGGATAACACTCAGAATAAACCTTGCTTTACTTGTAAGCTGACCAGTTTTAATTGCAAATGGTAGATGTGAGATAAACTTCCCAGTGCTACTTCAAACAATTTTTTTAGGGGAGGATTATATTTTTGAAAACAAATATTCTACAACGCTTAAAAAAAAAAAACAAACCAACCCAAACCCTAAACCTAAATATTCTAGGTTGGTGTATTGAGTTTTAACAAATCTTTAATATTATTATTCCAAGGCATACTCTATAATTATCAGAGGTGTTGAATATATGTTTGTATGAATGTTCTACTTTGCAAGTTGCATAGTGAATTTCATAATTTGCCATCATGTTATGGAACTGTAAGATTAATATAAAAAATAATTCACTTTAGGAAAGCAGCTGAAGGATGGAAAGAAGCCAGAACCCTGCAAACCTATCCTTAAAGTGGAATATAAAACAACTAGAGCTGGGTAAGACTTGTTTTGTATGCAAAATTAACATATGTAAAACAAATGCAGGTCTCTGGGAATGTACTTTGTTTCCCAGTTGTTGGGATATATATCCTGATGGCACTGAGCTATGGTAAAACAGCTGAAATAGTTTTGATAAATCAGATAGTGCTGAATAAACTACAAAACATATGTGAAAAAATTACTATATAAAAACCTTAACTTAGGTAAAGATACTTCTAATGCATTATCTACATGCTTCTTCCATGCTTCCGTACACTCATGTGTATTTTTGCTCAATATTTTGACAATATTAAAGAAAAAAAGGCTGATAAAGCACAGAAGACACTGAAGCACAGACCTGAAAAACTGAACTTTCACAAATAGCCTGATGTGAATATTCTAAATTCTGAATACGTGTTCCTCCCCAAAAAATGTTACTGACAGAAGCTTTTCTGGTAGAGTGCAGTAATTTATGTAGTGAATTGTGCCTAATTGTGCACATTGAGAATGTAATAAAGCAGTAATTGCAACAAGAGGCTCAGATGGAATTACAGTAGCATGTTTTGTTACCAAGACTGCAATTAGGACTGAAAGATTTCATGAACTGTATGGGATTTCTTTTATTTATGGTTCTAAAGTGCTTTAAAGTGTTTGAGTAAAAAGTGCACTATAAAGATAAAATATTCATTGAAACCTGTTCAGCTATTTGCAAATGTTGATTTTTTTCATATTTTTTTTATTTTCTTTGACTTTTTGAGGGGGTTACGTATTGTTTTCATTTGCTTTCCAGGCATGCAAGTTTACGGAAGATTGTTACTTAATTGATGTAATACAGGTTTCTACTATACATTGGTATACCCATACATAGAATATCAGTGGCTTTGTGTATTTTTATTGTTTGCTAAAAGTGAGGTAAATAGAAATTTAAGACCATGGCTAATTCCCAGATTTATAAACATCTATGATCAGTTGGAAAGCCATATTTCACTTGCAGCAGTCTACATCTGTCTGCATATTCCTTTCTCAACTGAAATGTCAAAAGCTGATCTAAAGGAAGATAGAGATAACCAAAAGTTCACAGCTTCAGCAAGTTACAATTTCTGCCATCAAAAGTCTTCTGTTATGAATAGTCATTCTGAAGGAAAAGATTAGTTCAAAGCTTGTTCTATGCAATTATAATATTACAATGTGAAAACTAGTTGACTTTTCACACAGCTTAAAGAGGAGCTTATTCTAGTATAACTTCTAAGAATATATAGCTCTTTGGGGAGACTACTTTTTCCTAGTGTGGGCTTTTTTCTGTTACATCTGTCATTTTCCAGTGTTCATCCAAACTGAATGTTTTGATGCATTTCAATTTAATGTTTTCTCTTTTCTCCATCTTCAGTGTACTTATAAATTTATAACTGTTGTGATACTCTTCGACCTTTACTTAAAAAAAACAAAAAACCAAACAAACAAAAAAAACCCCACAAAACCACCCCACAACCAAACCCACAAAAAAAAACAATTTTCACTCTGGTGGTGAAGCAGTGCACTGAAAATCTCCATTTGCTTACTGCTACATGTACTTCAGTTCACAGTTGAATTTTCAGTTTCAGTTGTAATCTTATTACAAGAATTTTAAGGCAAGGCAGAATACCTTTCAGTGCTTAAAATTTTGATAGTTTTTCTCTTTACCAATTGAAATTGATTAGGTATGAACATGGTACAATTTTAACTTTTAGCTAAAGCACTGTTATTTGTTCATCATTTAATTTCTGTAGCACAGAGGATAATCATTCCTGTACAGGACCAAAGTTTTTTTTTAGCTACTGAAAGAATATACAAAACAAATCAAATAAACTTGCTTCTATAGCAGTCTGCTCTAACTGTTCTTCAAAAACAAACCAAAAAAAAACCACAAAAGAAAACAAAACCAGAAAGCTTACAACATATTAAGAGATACTGTTTAATGTATACTTAAGTTATCTCAATTAACTTCTTTATTGTGAAAAACACTGAGTACTTCTAATTCGAAAACTTTCATTGAGAAAAGGTGTCCAGAACCACACAGAAGGAAGGAACATAACTGTTTGCAACCTGTAGTAGGGGCTACAGACACTATTCTTTCTACTGTGGCAGCTCTTATTAATCCCTTCTCACTTTTTTCCTCCATTATGTTCTCCATATTGTGAAGCTGGACTGGGGGAAACAGGAGGACATGAGGCTTTTTCTGGTTCTTACAGACTACCTGTTTATCTCCTAAGTTTGTGGGTTTTCTGTTGTCGGGTTTTTTGGGTTTTTTAAGTCTATTGCAGATAGTGCCTGTGAAGTCTCCAAAGCAAAAGTTGTTTACCCTACAACAAGTAGTAGGGTACATACCCTAGTATGTCTGTAGCTTATTTCTGGGAGAATATATGTAGAAAGATTACTATTGACAGTTGTCTTGTACCTGGGCAAGGGGGTTGAAAGGCAAGTTCTTGGTATATTCCTTGAGCAAACTGGCATAATTTTCCAATCCCAGAGCATAATGTCATTCTTCTCCAGCCATTTAAGTTCATCTAAAATACTCCATCTCTTTGTGAAGCATTGAGTTCCAAGGTAGGTTACCTTTTGGTAGATTGAGCTTGCTGAAATGGTTTCCATGTTGCCTTTTATGCATACTTTTCTGTCTGAAGTGAATCTAGAGAAGCTCTTAAGCTTCCTAATGCCATTTCCCACCTCTCCAGATTCAGTCCCCTATAGTATTTACTCTGGTTGATACTAGCATTATGATAAAATTGCCCAAGGTTATTCTTTGCTACTAGAGCCCTGTATAATAGAAATTACAGCTCAAAAGTCTCCCCGTAAAACATAATCAAAAAGTGTATTGTCTTGATAGCTAATGCAGCTGTCGTTGACTAACTGTAGAGCAGTACCTCTTAGTAAGATGGATGTATATAATTGGGACCCAGAGTTTACAATAATAATGAGGTCTCCAGATAAGTAAAAGTTCTTGATCTGTTAACTTAGTTTGAATAGTCCTATTTTGTTGTGTGAGCTTGTCGGTTCAAAAGCACACTTCCCAAAATGAATTTGTAATTTATTTTCACTACTCTTCAAGATTTCCAGTCTTAAGCTAAACTAACTCTTGAAGTCTCTTCCACCTTTATTACTGGGGATTAACTTCTTGACAAATTAACCCATGGTTTGAAAAATAAGCCAACTGGTACCAGTGGCCTGACTTCTGTATATACTGTTCTCTCTCACATCCAGGTTGCCAGAAACTGACTGACATTTGACAGTTTACTTCTAAAATTGAGCAGAAACGTCCTCCAGGGTTGTGAGCCACTCAGCTCTCAGTTGTATTATGTTTTCATACAGTGCAAGACCTAATCCTGTGTTTTCTGAATTTTTTTTTCAATGAAACATTGCCCCCCTTTGCAGTGAATTTTTTATAGTGTTCCCCAAGTGATTTTACAGGTGTATCTGAGGAAACGAATGTAAAGGGATTGCTTCCATACATGCTGAAGCAGAACTGTTTCAAAGAAGAATTTCTGTATTAGCAGCTGCTAAAAATGCTATATAGCAATTCTCTAAGAGCTGAGCACTGCTTTTTCTTAAATGTTTTCCATTGTTTCAGGTAGGTAAAATGTAACTATCAAAGGTGGATCAATCTCATCTATTATGTAAAGTACTATTTTTTAAGTTATGCATTTCTGTTTAACATTCATGTGCACTAACCTTTTAATGTGTATCACAACTGAAGAACAACTCTAAGTAATTAGAAAACACACAGCTTGTGTTCGTGGTAAATCCATGGTTTCATGAAAATATGAAGTTCATACACAAACTTCCATTAGTCTTTCTGGCAGACTAAAGTCAACTTTAATCTTTGACTCCTCTGTGAAAAATCCATGTGACAGATCCATGTAATCTCGTCTTAGCTTCGTAAGGATACAGACTCTGGCAAGCCTGCCCAAAGCAACCTGATTACCTTGAGAAATAAAACCAGGAGAAACCATCATGCAGTTTTCACTGTGATGTATGAAACTTAGAAACTGAAATTTGTCACTTTGCTATTGTCAGATGATCTTCGTGAACCTACAAGTCTAATAACTACTGCAAATTGTCCTGGCAGCATTATTGTTTAAAAAAACTAATGATTTTGTGAAGACAAAAAATACTGCAATAAATCATTCCAGCACAATGAGATACTGCAAGTACATCACACCAGGATCTTTCTTTTCATTGACACCCTGAAAAATACCAGGTTAAATTTAAGTTTGTCGTTTTCCTGAAATTACTTCATGGACCTGACCATAAAAGTTCCAATATGAAGAATTGAGATTAAATGAAAACTTGGAGAAAACTTACTCCTTTTCTAGAAATACACTTTTGACTACTGTTGGAGGCAGGATATTGAAGTTGGTGGACCCGTGGTCTAATTTATGGCCGTTCCTTTGAGGTCTCTTCCTCAGCCAGCAGAACTCTTTGATCCTCTCAACTCTTCAGTCATAGGGCTTTCTGAAGGATCAGGCAGATTGTGAAATGATTGTAGAAACTGAAAGCTTATCTCCGTCTGCTTTGCCTTCAATGCTACAAACACAGAGCACATTTCAGCCAGGCCTTAAACTCATGAAGGGCAGCATGTGCATAAACTAAAACCTTCATGCGCAGTTTTCAAAAAGAAAGATGTACCTAATCTGTCATATTTGTTTCAAATGCTAACTAGTGAAAGCCATTTAGACAGTATGGGAAAGATGGTGTTATAGGAAAAGATAAAAAATAAAAGATCTCTTCAGCCTCACTTTCACAATATGTCAGGGTGACTCTTTTCCCCTACAAATTTTCTCCAGATACTGACATACTAGCTGCTTCCAAGGTAGACACAAACAAAGGGTAGTATTCCTACCTAAAGTGAGCATAAAAGTAGATCAGAGGAATTTCAGTCTCTAAGTACCTATCTTTCCTCCAGAAATACAACCTGGAATTTGAGGCAATTGTCAATAATGGGTGAAATTTCTTGAACTGTATACTTATAAACAGCTCTTTAAAAGGTATTATGCTCTATTTTAAACATACAGTATTAACATTAGTGACTTTTGATAATTGGAAAAGAAGAAAATACCAAGTAAATGTTTACTTCATCTTGTTTTTAATAAATGAAATATTAAACTGTATATTATGTGCATAATGGAGAAAATGTGAATGTATTTAAAAATATGTTTCTGTAAAGACTTTTAAAAAACTGTTGAGAGGAAGCTTCTAATCTCTTTTCTCAAGACCAGAAGAAATATTTTTGCTTTGCTGTACTCAGCCATTTAATTATGCAGTAGGAGTAGTCTGTGACACGGAAGTAGTTCCTTGAAACTTGTTCATGGTGGTAAGGGGGAAAATGGATAAAATGTCTAGAGTAAATGTGTGATGAGAGAACTATGGGCATTTATTTATGTCCGTGCTTCTTAAAAGATGTTAGGTCTTTGAAGTTTATCAAGCAGCTGGTTGCTCCTCCAAGACAGTCCTATTATTGTGACTGCAAAATTACTTTATGCTGTTTGCAAAGTTGTTCATCCTTCAAAATTTAGGGTAATTCTATACAGGAATAAATGGGACTATTTCTTCCTGATCCTGCTGGAATATTTTATATTATGAAGTAATGGGGCTGTTGGCAAATCTGAATCTGCAGTTCAGTAGAAAAGAAACAATTCTAAAGTTTAACAAAATAAAAAAATCTCATCTTGGCAAACAGTTGCAAAGATTGGTTAAATAAGTAATATAGAACGAAAGATTTAGAAAAGATGTCTTTTTCAGAAGACTTGAGTTAGTCTTCTAACTCCTGGTTTTTAAGTTTTGAAACACATACCCAAGCTACATGTTGCATGGAGGAGCTGGTTTGCATTATTCTTAATGTATCTCTGCTTAATGATATCTCATTGAACTTTATTATAAGGTTACAAAAGCTGCCCAATCTCTTTTACGTGTTATCTTGGCTTGATCCTAAATGCCTCTGCTTTATTCCAGGGAGCCTTTCATCATTCTCTCAGGAGGCTTGTCATATGACACTGTAGGAAGAAGACCCTGTTTAACAGTTATGCATGGGAAAAGTACTGCTGTGCTAGAAATGGATTATTCTATTGTTGATTTTCTAACCCTCTGTGAAACGCCATATCCTAATGGTAGGCCCTGTAAAGATTTTTCTCAGTATTTTGACCTCTTCTTTCTGAAGTTTTATCCCATCAGAATATTCGTTACTATTGCCTTTCTGTTTTATCTGTGGGGATCAGACTGCAGCAGCAATATCTGTTATCCCTATTCTCTGAAGTATGTTTTACTTCCCAAAGTGTCAAATAGAATAGCTGCTTATAAAACCTATTTTGCTTCTAGAAGAATGCTGATTACTGGTTGCGTGGTTTTTCCTTCTTTTTAAATCCCAAAAATGTGCAGACAAAAAGTAGCTTGACAGTTTTAAGCTGTAGTTACTGCAGCAGATGTGTTCATCAATATTTATTTGAGCACATAAGACCTTTCTAGTCAATGCTAAATCTTGATTAGCATTGTGTAGTACTCTTAACTTTTAGTGACATTATTCATTTCAATACTCACATGAAGATCATCGCTAACCTATAATCTCTCTTCTGCAAGGGGACTTTTTTATCATAGTTTAGGTAGTTGTCCCAAACTAATAGTATTATATTGCCAAGAACTCGAGTGTTTTTAGCTGTCAACTTCCATCAGAGTATAAAACTGCTTAGCTGAGAATTTCAGGTCTGCCTGAAAGAGGACAAGATAAACTCTGGAAACTGTTTCGGTTTCCTTATTTTAGTGTCAAGTCTGCTGTCTTTCAATATATTTTGTAAGCAATTAGAATTTAAACCCCACTGAATATGAGGAAAAGCAGTTTGGGAGTGGGAGGCTGTTATTGTTCAGTAATTGGCTCTTTCTCAAAAATACTGCTTATACAGGTTCCTCTGCGTGTTCTTTTTCCTGTTATTTGGGCTCTTTAAATGGTTCTGGCAGATTGGAAGAGAGTTGAGAATATTGAATTAAAGGGAGAGCATGGCTTTTCCAAACATAACTTGGAGTATTCAGGGGGGTGAGTGTATAAAGTATCTTCAGAAACTATAGTCATCTAAGTGGCTTTTCTACTCTTGACTGATAGAGTGCAAGGACTGATCACATTAAGGCTGTGCGTGCAAGAACTACATTTACCAATAAGTGACTTTTTTCTTTCTTCTTCTCAGACTTTCAGGAACCATATGCTGTAGTTGTTCTTCTAGAAAAGGACTTAGTACTGATTGACCTTGCACAAAATGGGTAAGAACCTTGTGTGGTCTTTTTAATGGTTGGCTGCAGTGATCAGCCTGTTGTTCTGCTCTATAGCTTTTTAATCTACCATAATACTTCCCTGTCCAGAACATAAAATTTTGAATATTAAATATAAGGTTTCTTCAGCGGAACTGAGAATCTTTATAGACCAACTTTTCTCAAGTTAATATGTAGTAGATCAGTAGAATATTATGTGACTTTTTCCAGGCTTGACTGACCGACAGAAATTACTCACAGATCACTGCTGCTTTTTAATTATCACAGTTTTTATTTTGAAGTTGATTCCTTAGTGCTATGAGGGGAGCTTGGAATTTTGGGTAAGGGAGCAGGAGAAACAACTGTTCAGATAAGCCAGGTGATTTTGGCTGACACTGAGTGTTGTTGTCATCGCATAAATATTTGCTGATTTTATTGCCAAATGAACTGCTATCTGTATTGCTTAAAGTAACTCAATACTGATGCGATAAATATCCTATACATAAAATTAGAATGGTAACATCTACTCCCTGGTTTACTGTTGTGGTAAGAGGTTGCTTAAAAGTAGTATCCTATTACAGTTTTCACAACTAATACTTGCCTAACGCATTTTGTGTCTCTTGTTACTTTGTCCATGGAACAGTCCATATACTCTATTAGGTGGTGATTAAATTCTGGATCCTACAAATTTTTTTATCAAGGGTTTTGAAATTAGTATAGGCAGTAACACTAACTATTAAGAGATTAGTGGCAGAGGAACCAGACAGATAAGATCTTATCTAGTGTTCCTGATTAAAAGTCAGCAATGGTCAATGAAGAAAAATTCTTGTGAATAACATCCTTCTAGGGCAAAGCAAAAACCTGTAAATATGTATCCTCAAAGTCAATGGTGAGACCTTAGATAATGAAGACTCTATTGAACTTGGAAGAAGGTCGAGTTTAGTCCTAATATCTCTGCAGCTACTGAGCGATTTCATTTAGATTTTCCCAATGTTACATGGCCATATGCCGTATCCAAAACTTGTTTCTCATATACCAATGGCATTAAGCTTCCAACAATCATGATGTTGAAAGATTAATAAAACAAGTTTCAATGAGCTTGAAATAAAAAGGTTTGTACAAGGCTTTTTCTTTTGTGAAATAGCTTGCAGTGCCTGAAATCTGAAGTTATGTTAAGGCTTGTTCCATTTCATGTAAAAAAAATCTTTAGCAGCTATGTTTTTGGAAGACTTACAATGGTCTTTGTTAGGATTGGCTTGCAAGATATTAATTGTTAAACACCTGAAAAAAGCAACAAAATTAACAGATTTTTTTGCTACAGGAGGTTTCCTTTTACCCTGTGTTGTCATATGGATTTATCATATTTTGTTAAAATTAAGCCCCTTTTTCATTCAATTTTTTAGAAGATTGTTTTAGCTTTCCAGATAGCTCTGTATAAAGTTATTGGTATGCAGAATGTTTTCATCTGTTGCTGCTAATTTTTCCTTTAGATGGGTTGAGAAGCTGTGTCCCTTTTCGCCTCTCAAAAAAAAAAAAAAAAGAAAAAAAGCATATGCATAGTATGCATTTCTCTGGAGATAAATATTCTTTGAACACAGATATATTTACCTCTGTTGTTATTATTGGCTTTTTTCCTTATTAAGGTTCTGTTATTTTTCTGATGGAGGTGGTGGTGGGGTGGTATATGTGTGTGTGTTTGCTTCTAATTGGTAACTGAGTGTTGCTATCTATAACTTTCAGAAAGTGATCTTGGAGTTGCAAGTAGGTTATGAAAAGTGCTGGACAACTTTCTGTCTAAGAACAGTATAATAATACAAAGTGAGAAGTGGAGTCTTCCTGTCTTTCTCCCTGGAAGAATAGACTGAAGATTTGGAAATAAATTCATAGCTCCATATTACTACAATTAGGACTTGGTAACTTCAGTTTTTCCACAGGCCATTAAAATAGTAAGCTTTTAAAAATATAAAACTATAGGGAATAGCAGTGTTCTAGAAATACTCTAGAAACAGTACAAACTTCAGGTTCTGTCTAGAGTACTACAGTATCTTGATAGTGTACTGGATGAGCAGTGAAGTTGCATAGTATATTTGTTAATAATGTAATTTGATATACATTTATTTTCCTCTGTACGAAAAAAAATCAAACTTAGTCTTTAGTGTTTTGCTTGTGTTCTGCACTTTTTTAAAAAAAAGTTTTTCCTAGATTAACAGTCTTCCCCTTTTCATCCATTAAAGGTACCCTATATTTGAGAATCCCTATCCTTTGACTATACATGAATCTCCGGTTACCTGTTGTGAATATTTTGCTGATTGTCCTGTGGACCTCATACCTGCACTCTATTCAGTTGGCGCTCGACAGAAACGTCAAGGTTACAGTAAGAAGGTACAACATCTAGTACATACATATGTATTTGAAAATACTGAAAATCAACAGCTCTAAACAACGTAAGAGTGGCCAGACTAAGACCAGAGCTCCATCTGACTCATTATCCTGTCTTTGACAGTGGCTAATAGCAGATATCTAGGGAGGATACAGCATATGTCAAGCCTATAGCCATGCTTTCCTGATGTGCTCCCATTGATTACCGTTATCAGTGGAAGCTAAGGGACTTCGTGGAGCAGGGGTGTTGTTTATAGCCCTTGCTGATTTTTTTTTTCTCTCTGCAGTGCATATGTCTAATTACTTTTTGAAGTCATGTGAAATACTGGAATCTGCAGTATCTGCAGTAATTTCAGTGGCTTAACTTTGCACTGTATGATATTTTCTTCCTCAGTGTATTTGTTAATCTTCCAGGAATGGCCTATCAGTGGAGGCAACTGGGGTTTGATCACTCAGAGCTATCCAGAGATAATTATTACAGGGTAAGTGACACCATAGTGTAGTAATAACTTTCTTATCTGATTAAGTAGAAGTGAGAATATTTTGTTCCTCTTATACAAAAAAATGTTCTAAGAGTGGTTTGAATGATTTAAGAAATTATGTTCACCAGACAAGTCATTTGCATAATCATCTTGAGGCATTAACAAGAAAGTAAAGCAAAATGTGGAAGAGAAGGTAGGAACAAAATGATAGCACGTGTTTTACAGGGATTGTTATTATGATGCGGTATTGTGATTATGTATGCTTGCTATCAAATATCCTGGATGAAACTTACTTTTATTCTTTAACTTTTGGAAAATAGTTTAGTGTTTTAAAGCATAGGAAGTCCATTAAATAGTTCTTGAGTTTAGTTCTCAAAGGGAAGCCAAGTATTTTTATTTCAAAAAGGACAATCAAATACTTAAATCTGGTCATTTTGATCTCTTTTGAGACTGATCCTTCTAATACTACTCTAAGGAGCATAAACAAAATTTAATTTATAACCGTGCAGTGCATCACTGAAAGTGAGAGCACTGCTAAAGTTTTTTTAGAACAGCCCATTAGCCCTAATGAGGATTACTGTCACTTTATACATTGCAGAGACTTTGAGAGATAGTCCTGAAAAAACCTAGTCACCGGATTCTCAATTTCAAGGATAAATAAACAAGTTAGGTGACTCATTTACACTGAAATACAGTATATTTAGGCATCTCCTTTTTAAGTGTCACTCCAAATAAAGGGTATCTTTTAAGAAACAACACATGGTAAGGTATACCAAACTGCTTATGGGAAATGCAGGTAACTGGAATCAGTATTTAAAATGGTAAATTAATATTAGTACAGTGGAATTTCAGAGAGTTAGCCTCCAAATGTTTTTTTAATCCCTTCTGTCCAAAGTAATTGGGGCACATGTTCGTAAAATATCGGCTTCCAAGAAATTGTGAAAATAATGTCACTAAGAATACTAATAAAAATAGAATGTTAGCCATATATTTTCTAATCAGTAGCAAAGAGGTCTAACACTCCAACTAACCATTTTACCATCTTATTAATTTTTTAATATTTCATAGGCATGCTGATGGGTCAATCAAGTTTTGGGATGCCTCAGCAAGTAAGTGTTTTCAGCAGAGATTTTTTCCTGTGCAGTAGGAGTTTTCTAAACGTAATGATTTCTCTAATGGAATGTAATTGCAGACTAGTCATTCTCATTATTTCCTGCCTCATGTAGAGTCAGTAACTCCATAGGAAACTTTGATTTAAAATTAAATAAAATTAACATTATGTCTTAGTTAATTGTTTCACTGTTTTTACCACCTCAGTGAAAATGCACTTGTAGTCCAAGGGCCAGCTGGAATGCAAGAGTTCTAAAACTTTTTAGAAGCACCTTCAGAAGCACATTATTGAGCATAGAGATGCATGACAGGCAAATGCATTCCTTTTTAGTACAATTGAATTTCAGTAAGTTATTTCTGTCTTTTTAGACAGGAGAGAGGCATGTGTTTAAGACATCAGCTCCCCATAAATTACGGTATCTAAAAATGAAAATTGGAACCAGTAGTAGTTTCTGCTAATAAAATGATCTAGGCATTTGTCAAGAAAGGCAGGAGAACAGTAAAATAAAGACACTTTTCTCTGGTGGAATACTGGACAGGCCCGAAGAGTCTGATACTGTTTTACATTTCTCTTCAGTTAAAGGGTCAGTTGCATCTGATGGTCTACACAGCTAACAGTGAGAAACGCAGTAAAAATTCAAATTAGAATGGACTACACAGAGTTAGATGTCTTAATTAATCAACCTTACTCTTGGTACTTAAAAGCTGTCTGAAGCAATCTTGGAATCATTATCAGTTGTCTTTGAAAACTTGTGGAAGGCTGGTGAGATTCCAAAATGCTAAGGCATGTGTGGGTGTGGGAGGGAACAGATGCAATGTATACGTTTAAAAACTGGGAGGAGGAGTATTTGGAGTGTCATAGATCTTTAATTTCACTTAGGGGTGGGGGTGGAACCTGGGGGGGGTGGGCACGGAAAAAACAAGCCTGATTGATTCTGTGTGCTTAAAAATTCTATTCAGCATAGATCTGTCAAAAGGAGATCCTGTTAAAGACATGTAGTTTCTTTCTAAAACAGATAAATAAACCTGTTAAGGGAGAAGCTGCAAGCATCCTGTATCTTGATTTTAAAACTTCTAAATCTCTCTAATGGCACAGTCGTACAGATGAACTAGGGAAGTGTGATTCAGGTAAAACCACTGAAATATGGATTAGGAGAAAGGATGCTATAAATTGTTTTCCTATTGATATGATCAGTATTTGTAGCAGTGATTTGGACCATTGACTAGAGAATATGCTTGTGAAGTTTGAAAGCAACACCAGGACGGTTGAAAGAAAATGTAAGAAAGAATTAGAATTGCAATTGAGAATGATACTGCTAATTCTCGAATAGCATCCAAGACAATTTATTTCATAGAATAGAAGCATAGAATCATTTAGGTTGGAAAAGACCTTTAAGATCATCAAGTCCAACTGTTAACCTAGCACTGCCAAGTCCACCACTAAACCATGTCCCTAAGCACCACATCTACCAGTCTTTTAAATACTTCCAGAGATGGTGACTCAACCACTTCCCTGGGTAGCCTTGTCCCAGTGCTTGACAACCCTTTTGGTGAAGAAATTTTTCGTAAGATCCAATCTAAACCTCCCCTGGCACAACTTGAGGCCATTTCCTCTTGTCCTAACGCTTGTCACTTGGGAGAAGAGACTGACACCCATCTTACTGCAGCCTCCTTCCAGGTAGTTGTAGGGAGCGATAAGGTCTCCCCTGAGCCTCCTTTTCTCTAGGCTAAACAACCCCAGTTCCCTCAACCACTCCTCAGAAGACTTGTTCTCCAGACCCTTCACCAGCTTCGTTGCCCTTCTCTGGACACGCTCCAGCACCTCGACGTCCTTCTTGTAGTGAGGGGCCCAAAACTGAACACAGTATTCGAGGTGCGGCCTCCCCAGTGCCGAGTAAAGGGGCATGATCACTTCCCTGCTCCTGCTGGCCACGCTATTCTGATACAAGCCAGAATATAGGATCAATGATTTACACTCAGAACTTATATTCTGGAAAAAAAAAAAAAATGGAGGTCTAATGGATTGCAGTGTCAGTGTTGCACAAAAAAAAAATCATTGGGATAATTAAGTAGGAATATCTGTAAAATCAACATGGAATAATTCTTTCACAATTTTAAACTGTCGCAAGGCCTCACTAGAACAGTGCTAGGAAACACTGTATCAAGAAAAATGTTGACTGATCAGAGGGCAGCACTTTTGAATGATCAGACAGGGCAAAATAAAAATTGGAGGAACTAGGGCTGTTAAGTCTAAGAACACAGGTGAAAGGCCATGGATTTGAAATACTGTAAGGAGAAAGGAAAGGAGCTTCGCTTTCTCTGCCATAGATAGGCTTAAGTTGTGGGTATGGCATATGTAACTAGATGTTATTGAGATAGAGATCCCTAAGTATAGTTAAGCCTTGAGAAGCTGTGAGGGCTTAGTTTATAACTGAAGTTTAGTATATATCTCTCAGGAAAAGTGTTGGGTTTTTTTTATACTAACTGATCCTGCATTGGGCAAGTGGTGCACTGCGCGAGCAGAGTCAACGCAGATATTCAGTGCTTCTACTCTGCGCTCTTTTGTTGAATACAGTGGCTTTATCTATGAAGAGAAGTTTCTAAATTAAAAAAAATTAAAAAGAAAAATATCTGTTTAGATCAAAACTAATTTTTATCTCTCTTGGTTTGTTCCCAGTAACGCTGCAAGTACTCTATAAGCTAAAAACAGCCAAAGTATTTGAAAAATCACGGAATAAAGATGACAGGCCAAACACAGATATAGTAGATGAAGATCCATATGCTATTCAGATCATCTCATGGTGTCCAGAAAGTAGAATGCTGTGCATAGCTGGAGTTTCTGCACATGTCATTATTTACAGGTTCAGCAAGCAGGAAGTGACAACAGAAGTCATTCCGGTAATTAGTATAACCATTTTTTAACTTTGTAGGATTTAGCTATAATAAGACTGTTGTAGCAATTTACTTCTTCATTGTCTTTCATTTTATTAGTGAAATGGACAAAACCAATTGCCTCAAAATGAGGAGATGTATTTTTGTGGAGGAAAAATAATAAATTATGAAATTCAGCAAAAGTGAAAATTGCACACCAAGATTTTGGTTTTCATTGGCTTTTTCAGGTTTTGCAGCCACTAATAGTTCTTTGTTCTATCTATCAAAGCAAATAGTGGATCAAAAATTTGCTATATCAAAGGTAAAATGAAAACAGAAGTGAGTGAGATGTGGAGTTGAAGAATTTTCAAAGCTTTTGAGGAGTTGATTCCTTTTTTTTTTCCCCTTGATTCATAATAATTACTAACTGTCTTGACAAAACTTCTGCAGTATGCAGAGCTGGAAGAGTAGAAGCGTGCCAGACGTGCCCTAAGGTCTGTTAAGGACTTTGCTGTGTCACTGTTTTATTCTATATAAGATACAATGACGAGCTCTATCACAAGAGTTTGAGAAGTCCTTTGTTAAATCAGAGACACACATGCAACTTTACTTACATGAATGTATAAGCTGAAAGCTAACTTGAAGCCATGTAAGTATAAAATGTTGTATGTTTTAAGTAAAGCATTAATTGTAATGTAGTTGGTTTTTTCTCCCCCCCGCCCCCTTTTATTCTGTCCCCTTCAGATCAGTCTCATTTTAAGGAGATGAGGCATATTTTTGTTCCTTCTGGTGTTTACTTATGTACAAGTACATTCCCTTCTGAGGGAATAGTTTTTCTAAATGATTTTTACAAATCAGCCTCTAGCAAACTATTCTGCAGTACTAGGAATGCTTTAAAAAAATACTGTATGGTTATTTGTTTCAGTCCATGAGTTAAGTTCTACTTTGCAGATGATGAGAATAAAACAACGGAAAACTTTCTTTACAGTGCACTACAGTTAATACTAATATTGGTATAGATCCAGCAGAAGGAAATCTGAAATCATGACAAACCTACGGGTCTTTAAAATGTATGGTCTAGCTCAGTGCAACATCAAACATTGAACTAAGTCCCACGTGTACAATGCTACAACAGTATAAGGTGTAGCTGTCTATATGCCTTCAGCTCTTCTTAGTTTTAGCATTCCTGAGCTACATAAAACAAGTCGTCTTCATAACTGAGAATTTATTATGTGCACAGAATGATAATTAAATGGGTCTTGTATCCAGTATTTCATTTCTTTCCAATATTAAGCAGCAAACAAATATTGGGAAATAGGTTAGATTTTCAAGTTTTAGCAATCTTCAGATATTCAGTCTGTAGTATAGTATAACTCTGTATTTCTGAAGACTACGTGTGTGTGTGTATGTTGCACTGTTTCTTAAATGACTTACCTTTTAAAAGATGGAGAAGTCCTAGATGTCACTTACCACTGGTATCTGCAGTTGCACTTCATTTATTTCATATCTAGGTTTTTTGAAAGGCAGAGTTTACTGATAAATTTTTTTACCTTAATTTACAGATGCTGGAAGTACGTCTGTTATATGAAATAAATGATGTTGAATCTCCAGATGGTGAGCAGGTGCCACCTTTACCAACTCCAGGCACAGGTTCCAATCCTCAATCCATTGTTCCCCAGTCTCATCCATCTACTAGTAGCAGTTCATCTGATGGACTACGTGATAATGTCCCATGTTTAAAGTAAGTATATTCTGTTATACTTTTGAGTGTGAAACTTTACAGGAATATGTAATGAGACTATATGTACTTTGATATTATTACAGAAATGTCATCGTTGCTGAAAATGTTTTATTTTAGAGCAACATTTTCCAAATGTCTGAAAGTTGAGTTCTGTTTTATGAAATCAATATTGCAATCTTAGTTTCTTTAAACTTTATAAGCTCATTTAAAAATAAAAAAAACCCTGAAAATTCTTACCTTGACTGCTGCCTGCTTTAGGAAACTTTGGCATAGATGTCAGTATAGTGTTAGATGCTCATGATTTAGAGCAAACATTTTCAATAGCAGCAATATAGTTACTTTGAAGTCTTATTGTCCATTGAAATGAATAGTCAACTTAATGTTTTGTGGCTGTCCTTAACTTCAAGCCAAGTATGTATGGATAGATTTCACCTGTTAGTTTTCCAGAGCCTTATGTTTTTAGAGCCAAATCAGAAGCAATGAAAATGCTTACAAATAACTGAGAGGTAACTCTTTTTAGGCTTACGTATTTTTTCATAACTCTTCAAGGGAACTACTTTGTGGTTTGGGAACAGGAAACAGAAGTAAAGAAGTGTCCCATTCTCATGGATCTTCATTTTGCATGATGCCTCATAGTGCTTGCAGTGTAGGTCTTTGACCAATTTTTCTATTTTTTTTAAATGGGAGTTTTTTCCTTAAGGTTCTTCGTGTGTGAACTTTTACTCATTTGAGAATTCCAAGTTAAGACAATTTTTTTTTTTTTTTTTTTTTACTCTTCTACAAGAGTACATTATGAGGCCTCTGAACTATTACCTTTTCCTTACGGAATGTACATTGAACTTCATTTTCAGATATAAAATTAAGATATGTATGTACTTTTGTTTTCTGAAGTTTTAAGGTACCAACTTGGATTTTAATTCTTTGAGTGCATCCATCCAGAAAATAACTAATTCTGATGGGGTTATTTTCTCTGGGTGGGATTTTTTGTATCTTATTGGTTGTACTGAGTTGCAGAAGTGTGCTTCTAAAGAAAACTGGATGGAGTAGAAAAATTGGAAAATTCTGAATTTTTCTAAAATATTGGCAAACGAAAATATGCATTGCTGAGAATGAATGGGTAAAATAAGAGGAATTCAGGAACCGGAGGAGCTATGTTCTATGTAACTTTTTTCACCTTAAAAGGTGAGACCTAATCCCTTCTGCAGAACATTCATAAGTTTGTTCATCGACATGCAAACAAAATCTTTCCAGGAGCTTCAATTCCCCCATTCCCAGGTTCATTTCATACAACTGGTCTACCATTATAATAATTTAATTTGCTTTCATTTTTTTCTACCATATCATCAGCTTTTTGTTTACATTTGTCTCAATACATTATGCTTCCATTTCTCTTTTCAGTATCCTTCTTCCACATGCACCCCTCACCCCCTTCCATTCTCTAAATCAGAGTTCCTTTGGGAACTCTGAAAAGAATGGGCAACACCTTCCCCTTAGACACTGAATGCCTTTATTCAAGTCAGTGAAGCATGCTAATGCTGTTATGCCTTGCTCTGAAGAGGGGAGAAATGAAGTATTTGTGATCATTGCTCAATTAATTTTCAATTAGGTAATGAATCAAAAGGGCCCGTAAAAAGGTGAATGACCAGTTCCAATGTGGGTTTTTTGTGGTTGCTTTTATGTGTTTGTGTTGATTTTTTTGCAATTTTTCAATTTTCTAAAGCCCAGTGTGGTGTAGAATTTAACAAATTCTGAGCCCATAAGGAAAAAATGGAGACTGTGGAGAGTCATAAAAAGATACCATGCTTTGTTTACTTTGCAGAGTTAAAAATTCTCCTCTCAAGCAATCTCCAGGCTACCAAATTGAGCTAGTTATTCAGCTAGTGTGGGTGAGTGGAGAACCTCCTCAACAGATAACCAGCTTAGCAGTCAACTCGGCGTACGGCCTGTAAGTACATTCTACACATTTTTTTTCATTATTCTGTTAAAGTGGTTTAAAATTATCTACTAAAAATTAAGTCTCCATGTGTGTTCACATGAGCTGCACAGCAACACAAGAGACAATCAGTCTCCTGTGCTTAAAAGAGAATTCCTTTTGGATCATGGCAGATCCTGATGATGCTAACATCAGAAACAAATCAGCATCACTCTTCCTCACCTGGCACTGTACAGCCAAGAGTAAGTGTCATTTAAGGCTCTGTCAGATAGGTTGGCAAGTACAGTGGTGGTGATCTGTTCTACTCAGTGTCATGTGTTTTTACAAGAGAACAATTAAATGATACTGCATTCTAAAATAGTAATTTATAGATACGTGTAATTTAGGGTAATTCATAAAAATTAGGAAGTCTTAAAATGCTGAACAGCAACAAATACCAATATAAAACTTTACCAACATTTGATTAGCACTGTCTTTCCTTCCACTTCTCTTTTTCCAGAGTAGTTTTTGGAAACTGTAATGGTATTGCCATGGTTGATTACCTCCAGAAGACAGTGCTCTTGAATCTAGGCACTATTGAACTATATGGCTCCAACGATCCTTATCGCAGGGAGCCACGATCTCCCCGAAAAACTCGGCAACCGTCTGGAGGTGAGTAACCCAAAACTTGTTTTAACGAACTGTGCCTTTCTTCTGAGCTTATCTGGGCTATTAGTGTATATTCTTTGAATACAAGCATACTTTTCTCCATTGTGGTTTCATTCTTTCTTCTTGATCTGTCCTTAATGTCACTATTGCAGGTTTGTTACTTCATATTTCCTTCAAAACTCGCTTAGTGGAATCTACTGATGTTTGATATCATTACCTATTTTTCAGTGTAATATATGTTTTAAGAAAAAGCAGATGGGAAAACATTCTATGTGAATAGATACAAGTATAAATGCACAATGGATTTATGCAGTTTACAAGATTTTTAACTTAATAACACAGCATGAAGAAGTAGAAGTATCCTGGTATTTCTGATAAACCTAGTACCCATATCACATACTTGTATAAACCCATTAATGTTTGCAGATAGCCAGTGTATCTGCTGGGATCTTTTGGCTTCCTATTTTAAACTTTGACTAGAAATGTCCCTGGTAAGCTAAAGCATGTTATGTTGTGTATGCTGTTATGTTATGCTTGAAAGGAAGCATTTGATTTAAATGAACCAAATAAACTTCCAAATACAAACTGGTAAAATAAAACTTTTTTGAAAAAAGGGCTTTGTTTTAAAAATATCCTGAAGAAGGGTGTTCCTTTGCAGCTGAGGAGGAAAGTGACTTTTCAGTCGAAATGCCAAGCTTTTTATTGCCAAAAGGGAAATTTAGTATTTTTAAATTATTTTCTCATCCTTGTTATGTAGGTGGATACTTTTAAGTTAATTTAGAAAACGGCTAAAGGCAGAATGATAAACAATGTCACTGCTGCCCCAACTGATTATTTTTCAATAGGAAATAAACTGCTTAAAAAAACTTCTTCATGCTCTAGTGTTGGTTGCTTTATTTTAAGAGATCCAGAATAAAGTCCAGGTAAGTTCTTTAGGTAGTATTTTATTCAAATTGAAATGGATGCTCTAAGATGTTTTTTAGTAAATCATTGGTTTGAGAAAGATCCAGTTAGCACCACTCAGCTTATTTCAACTGAGGAAACTGGTCTAAAAATCATTAACATAGAGCAGAACATACACAGTTAGTATCCTGTAAGATAAAATATTTTCTTCTAATAAATAAAAACTTTATTAAAAAAATTACTTTCTAAAAGAGAAATAACTTTACTGGTTGTTAATTCCTCTAAACTGCCTTTTGGAGTGTTAAATGTCACTTGCTTTGGTTTCTTGGCTTTTGTTATTTTAACATATTGCATCTGCATAACTGAGTTACAACTGTCTCTCTAAGATGTTCATGAATGAAGTCCTTTTTTCTCATGAATATAACTTACATGATGAAAACATATTTTTGCATCTTACATTTTAGTACTAATGATCTGCATGGCAAGAACATTTTATAAACCTGGTTATACAAGTTATTCTGCTGGCTTTTCTGTCTCAAATGTACTGTTAGTGTGTCCGTCTTTCCTTTTCTCATTGCTTCGTTAAAGGTATGCTGACTGTGGCTTCTTGCATGTGCGGCCTTTCTAACTTATATTCAGTGTCTGTGAAAAAGCTTCGCACCTCTTATATAAGTAAGTCATCTCACAGCAATAAAATATTTTTGAACATCTGAATTTGATTTTTGCACTTGTTCACTCACCATAAATATCTTTTTAGTCCATTTTAAGTAATTGTTTTACTTCTAGAAACTGGTTTTAATCCATCACACATCTATCGTATTTCTTGTTCATGGCATCTTTAAAAGAAACTTGAAAGGAAAAAAGCAACCATAATAGTCTCTGTATTTTGTGTTTTTAAATAAATATCAAAATCAAAAGGAGATCCCAGTCTCAGAAGTTACTGATGTCTACAGACCTGAGATCTTACTCACCAAACTTAGTGTTGTGTTGAGATCAGAGGCTAAAAGCTTTCCTTGCTTGGTCCCCTTTCTGGCAGAAAAAGCTTCAGAACTCTAGTGTTAGATGATTATTATTATTATCATTAATAATAATATTAATAATTAACATTGTAAAAGACAGTGATTTGTCTATTACAAATGAAAATCTATTTCTACAAAGATGTTGTTCATAGGGATTAAGAGTGGAGGTGTTTGTGTATTGCACAGCCCTGTGGGGTTTCCAAGCAGTTTTGAAGTTCAGGCGCCTACGCGAGGGAGGTAGCCCATCAAACCATGATTTACCTGAGGGCTTCTCTGACTTATTCCATCATTCACAGCATCCAAGAATTTGGAGAACGTATAGCTGATTTTTAAAAGCATAACACTGTTCCTTTCCCTAGGGTGCCAGTTTTCTCCTGCCCTTAGGCAGAGGTAGGTAATCTCATAGAATCATAGAATCATTAAGGTTGGAAGAGACCTCTAAGATCATCGAGTCCAACCATCAACCCAACACCACCATGCCCACTAAACCATGTCCCTAAGCGCCTCATCTACACGTCTTTTAAATACTTCCAGGGATGGTGACTTAACCACTTCCCTGGGCAGCCTCTTCCAATGTTTAACCACTCTTTCAGTAAAGACATTTTTCCTCATGTCCACCTCCCCTGGCACAACTTGAGGCCGTTTCCTCTTGTCCTATCACTGACACCCACGTCGCTACAACCTCCTTTCAGGTAGTTGTAGAGCGCGATGAGGTCTCCCCTCAGCCTCCTTTTCTCCAGGCTAAACAACCCCAGTTCCCTCAGCCGCTCCTCAGAAGACTTGTTCTCCAGACCCTTCACCAGCTTCGTTGCCCTTCTCTGGACACGCTCCAGCACCTCGACGTCCTTCTTGTAGCGAGGGGCCCAAAACTGAACACAGTATTCGAGGTGCGGCCTCACCAGTGCCGAGTAAAGGGGCACGATCACTTCCCTACTCCTGCTGGCCACACCATTTCTGATACAGGCCAGGATGCCATTGGCCTTCTTGGCCGCCTGGGCACACTGCCGGCTCATGTTCAGCCGGCTGTCGACCAACACCCCCAGGTCCTTTTCCGCCAGGCAGCTTTCCAGCCACTCTTCCCCAAGCCTGTAGCGCTGCATGGGGTTGTTGTGGCCAAAGTGCAAGACCTGGCACTTGGCCTTGTTGAATCTCATACAGTTGGCCTCGGCCCATCGATCCAGCCTGTCCAGGTCCCTCTGCAGAGCCTTCCTAATCTCACCCTATTTTTTAGTGAAGGAGAGTAGAATAAAGCTAAGCTAAGGGAAGAATGACCTGGAGTTTAAAAAAAAAAATAATAATTGGAGATTGCAGTCCAATTTTGTTAGTTCTCCTATTTTTTTCCCCCAACAAGAAAAAAGAAATACATTTTGGAGAGGGTAGGCTCAATAGCCAAATACTGCTTTCTGTATAGGCTTCCATCCTCTGCTGCCAAGGGAGAAAGAGAGCTAGGCATAAAAGAAATGCCTCCACCTTAAGATGATACAGAACTAAAAACCAGCATCTGCCACTGATGTATTGTTGTGAAGGGAAGCAAAAGATGGGCAGAAGTCCCATAGATGGTTTCTGAAGCCAACAATTGTAAAGCTGAATTTACCTAGACTAATTCATTTAGGAATAGGTTAAAGCAAGTTTTGTATGGAAGAGTTAATTTCTTAACCATGTAGTTAATTCTTTCCCTCCACCATCCTACCAATATCTTGATTAGCTGGAGCTACAGTCTTTTTAAAAACTGAAAATAATTTCTCTGGAGTTATCATTTAATATTTCTCACTATTTGTAGTTCTTTCAATGTATGTGTTGCCCAGACTTCAATAACTTCAATAATAAAGCATTATTGTTGTGTAATTTTCCTCAAATAATAAGTCTGTTACATTAAAGAACTATCCTTCACTATATTATAGGATTGGAACTATAAGAGTTAGACCACTTTTGGATTTTGCATTCTCCCTTTCTTGAACATTAATATCTGCGTTTAGTGTCTTCAAAAGTGCAAGAAACTTATGCTTCCTTGGGTTTGTTTTGAAAGATATGCCTTCATTGAATTCTTTATCTTTAAAACATTTGTATTTTAATACTTCTAAATTTGTTTTTGTACAAATAAGACATTTTCAACTACTGTACAGCTCTAATAATCTTCAGGGAGTATTAGTACTTAATTTCTAAATCTTCCTAGAAAAAGTGCTTATGTATTTAATGTGGTTGTGTTAGAGAAACTGAGTATATATCCCATTCTCTTTGAGACAACCACAATGTAATTAAAAAAAATTATGCTAGCCTATCCATGCATTTGGACAAGTTCTTAATTAGCTACATTAAGTTCAGGTTCAGACAGCATGCAACAAAGCTGCATATTGTTATTGTACATTGTATCCCAAGACTGGTAGAACCAAAAATTAAATTATAGCACTGTAGAGGGGAGTAGGAAAACATCATTCTCTGTTACTCAACCACTTCCATAGATTTTACCAAGAAAAGGCAGCAAGAATTGGTTCTTCCTCATTAAGAACCCTGCTATTCTGTATGTTCCAGCATAAAATGTCTATTTAATAGATGATCAGTATCTGCTTACATATTTGTAACTTAGTAAATGGGATGTCCTGAGTCAACCAATTAAATTTAAAAAGACTTTTTAAAAAAAAGTTCATAGAGTAAGAGTTACGTATCTTCTAAAATATGAATGGAAATGCAAGATTTTTCCCTTCACTTGTGTTGCAAGAATATGATGTATGTTTCTGTCATCTTATTTTTTTCTACTCAGAAAAGAAATTCAGATTCCCGTCTTAAAGCAGCATCTATTTAGAGACAAGGCTCTCTACACTAGCTAGACTGTAAACTGTCATTTCAGGCTAGCTCAACAGATACAAGCTCCCAGTTGGGATCGTGTTTTGGAATTTATCAGTGATTCATACCAGGTATATTACTCACATGTTTTGGGTGGCAATTTGTAAAGCATGCAGTATATGTGTTTCGTGAAGGCCTTCTAGACAGTGTCATCAGATGCTTGCCAAGGATAAAAACAAAGTCAACCTTTGCCTTCAGATCATAATAGTGGGGGGAAAAAACCCAACTTTGGCCATGTGCCGAAAGACATAAAATGTGTAAGTAAAAGCTTTATAGTGTGATGAAAACTCTATACACAGTGGAGGCTTACACTGTTTAGAGACCTTTGTTTGATATACTGTTTGCTAAATATGATAGGAGCCATTAAGAAAGTCAATATTGGTACCAAATTATCAAAAAATTTGTAATTTTATGAATAAACACCAAAACTTATGGACAACTATTTTTCCTTGCTTAGTTACATAATTAAGTTCACATAGGGACACTAATCTTAACTCTTTTGCAACTTACTGTTAGTGGGAGTTATAAGATTTTGTGACTTCTTAACTAGTACAGTATAATACAACCTTTTGTAAGTTAGTATTTCTTAGCTCTGCTAGAGGCAGTTTAGGGTTCTGACAAAATAGCAGTTCTTGCATGCGACTTTTTGTTATATGTCAAAAAGCCTTTTTTGAGTGTAATCTATAAGAGATTCAGAACTGGGGTTGAGTCAAACCTGAAGAAAATATGTGCCTAGAACTCTTCTGGGGTTGCTTGCTGTAGTTGTTTTCCCTGTCACCTTTCTCCTTGAACTGGATCTGGACATGAACTCTATTTGAATTTTTAATTTAAACCTCAACTAAACCAGACCAACGTCATCTGTGGCTAAGCCAAGTCCAGAACTGAATCAGAAAGTTTGATTGTTGGGTTTAGGGATTTTTTTTTACTCCCTTTTTAAGGTTAATTGTTTTTAATTCTAGGTTTTATATACTCGTATCAAGTTAGTTCTAGTTGTAATTTTTAACTAGGTGGGTTTCCAGTCAAGTTGCACTTGCTTCAGAGATGTATCTGCCTAAAGTTTATGTGAAAAACTGACAAATGTCTCATGAAACTTACCTTATACATCAGTTAATTTCAGGTGTAATTCTAGGGAGTTTTTAATGCAGCATGGTAATTTTTGTCTTTAATGACATTATTTGGTTTTTTTATTCGTTTTGGAGGTTTTAAAATTTCTTGTTACTAGAGTTCAGAGATGAGCTAAAAGCTTATTAAAAAGTCACTTTTCCATATATTTGTGATCTAGCATGTTGTAGTCCTTGCAGTTCTGAAATGGAAACTCTTGGATCAATTTGCTTTTGTAATCCATAGCAATTTGCACATATGCTGTAAGCCTGAAACCAGAGGACTTTTCCAGGAGAGCTGTCTTACTGCCAGTGCACACACTGCTTCTATCAGGGTGCCTGGGGTTTTAAGATGAACAGCAGTAATGATTGTTACACCAGTTTGTTCTTCTCATTGGTCATGGATAGACCCTCATAGTTCACAGACTTAACTCAGATCATTCTTGTTATTCTCTGCTTAATTTAATTACTAATACAGTCATAGGTAAAATTACTTTTTATCTATTCCTGTCCCTTCTGCTCTCTCTTAAATAATAGCAGTGATGGCTATGATTAGATTTCCAAGGTTTGTGTCATAATGATTGTCATAATGCACGCTTACTCTTTAGTGGGATAAATCTTACCTAATGCATAAAATTAGTGCATAGGTTTATGATGAGAGAATGTTTTGGGGGTTTTTGTTGGATCAATTGATCAGAGTTATTCATTAGGACTTATATTGATCAAACTGTAGCCTCAAGACTTCCTACAAAGAAATCAAGTGTGCTGGTGTGTGGCTTCATTCTTGGCTAAAGACTATTCCTGTCAATGCAGGAATTTTTATAGGAAAACTAGTGTGAGAAGTTAAACTTTTCCTATAAAGATAAAGAATTAAAATATTTAAGGGAAAGAAGAAATTAAGTCCTGAACTGCATGTTTAGATTTGTTCAGTTTGGCTCCCGAAGGAGCATGATCTAGAAACACAACTATTTCTAAGCGCACAGTACAGGTTTGTTCTCTCAGCACTGCTACTATCTAAGACTTGTATTGCTTGTTGGGAGAGCAGCACCTGGATTTTTGAGAAATCTTTTTACACAACCCTTCTAGTACGAAACATTTAGACTCCCATGCGTGTTTAAAACTCTGGTGCTTTCAGAGGTCAAATCATACTTTGTTAGAGAATATGTACCACAATTATTCCATAGTGCTCATTGATTTACTGATAGATTATAAATAAATTGCTTTTTTCTTTCTCCTGTGTAATAGAAAGGTATAGATTCCACCTGGGATTTCACCATACATTCTAGATTTTAAATCAGTTCCTGGACTGTTGATAAGTGTAGGTTTAACCAAGCCTTAAGGTCATTTGACAATTTCAGATTAATCCTAGTCCTTGAGTTTTGAGGTTCAAGCTGTACATGCTCTTAATAATCTTAAAGACTATTTTGCATAAATGAAACTGTGTGTGAATGCAACATAATGTGTTCCACATTGATAATATTTCAGGAGAACCTTTTTTCCTTTAAATGATTAATGTCTGGTTTAGTATTTGGAAACTTTAAAGCTTTGATAGAGTAGTACTGTTCCCATTTTTTTTGTCGTCTGTCAAGATATGTAAAGATGCACTAGTGAATGTGTAGTATACAGCTGTATAGACAGGCTTTGCATGTGTAAGCCCTTGTTGCCTTAGCCATTACCATTACACCTCTCAAGCTTTTTGAGCATTTGAAATATTTGTGTGTATGCAAAACCCTTTCATTTTACCAAATATTTCTTAACTATTACTGTTAAGTATTACATGCTTCTCTGCATTAGTATCACATCATGAAATTTCTGAAGGAAAACTTTATTATATAAACCTAAAGATGCATTAACAGTCTTAAATATCAATAAAATTAACTTTTCTTAATCGTAGGCAGTCTTGACAGCAATTTCTTGTCAAAAAGGAAAATAGAAAAATTCCTTGTATACTTCTAGTTAGTGCTATGGAATAATATTTAGGACCCTTATGAGGCAAATTCCGTCTTTAGCATCTGATTGTGGACTCCTGTGCTTTATTTCCTTCACTGGAATGGAAGGAATGAGCTTTTACATATTGACATATTGCAGTTATTCAAATGATCAGATTTGATGTAAGAATTTAGTGAAATTCTTCCATACAAGGAAGAACACTTTCATAAGCACCCTAGAACCTAAATTCTGTAAGTGACATCAATAAGGAGTTTTGCTGGAAAATGATCTTGGCAATGCAACAGCAAATACAAAGCATATCACTGTAACAGTGGGAAAATAATTTGAAAAAAGGCACTGTAGCTTCACACATCATACGGCACATGTGGTTGTAATCAAGATCCTCTTTCATCTGACTCTTGCAATTACATTTTTAGTATAACTAGGATTTTTTCAAAACAAATTATATTTGTACTTATGTCTATAGCATGTAAATAAATAACTGTTCTGATAAGTCTGTCTTGCTGAAAATATGGTGGTTTTCACTGAAATTTAATGAGGAGGTGTATTTTGCAAAGAACTTTAAGAAGTGACACTACAGTCACTGTGGGTAATGTCTAAATAAAAAAAAAAACAATACGTAACAGAAATTCTATCACAACTGGCTGTTTCATAGCTAATAAGAAATGAAGTTCCTAACTGCAGTGGAAGAAAGGGTAAAATAGCAGCTGTATTTATTATACACTGGTTTTGTGTTCCAGCAGGTCTTTGTGATATTAATGAAGGTACAATGGTGCCAGAAGACCGCTGCAAATCACCCACTTCAGGTAATCATAACTTTCTCTGATCTTCAGCTGCTTATTTGCCTGGAAGATGGCATGCTTAAGTCAACATTTACTAGTTAAGTAATTATATAAATCCTGTTGTCCTCTCACAACCTGTTTGAGCTGTCATAAATTTTGCTCTGTTGCACAACTGCATTTTTAAAACAAGGCTGATTCAAGAGATGCAATAGGAATATGTCATAAAGATGAGTGAAGAGAGAGAGAATCTGAAATATTTATGCTTCAGGGAACATACTGCACAATGGAATTTTGAAACATTGATAAGAGATTAACAAATTCCTGTAATAGTTCATGTGATTGTGTTTCAGAGTCCTCAAAAGTGGTAAAGATTACTTCTGCTTCCTCATAAGTGGTAAATTACTATTTTTCTTTGGAATCGGAGGTCTTCAGAAACTGGCATCCTTACGAAGTAGGAGTGCCATACTTAACGCTCCTGCCCTCCTTTTTTTTAGTTGCCACTACTGTACGTGAATATTTTAAATGAAAGCTTCAGCAATATGTAATACTATTTAGAATTTTGTTTAATATTGGCTAGTTGAGGCTATAGCCATGTAAATACTTAATAGTGCATGTCAATATATATAGTATTTGAGATGAATATTTCATGTAGTAGCTAAAAATTTGTCACTTGTCTTCACTGTTACTCTGAGAAAACTTCTAGAGTAATATGTCACTTTATCTGTTTCATTCAAAGCTGTACTCAAAGTGAGAGTAAAGGACAAAATTGCAGGTTTACTCAAGTACCTAAAGTAGTATGTGCACTCTTTGCAATGTAGTGCAAAATGGTAATCAATATAGGAATCTAAAGATAGACTCCTTTTCTATTGTTGCCTGTACCTTTCAAAGCCAAGTTGAAAGCATAACAAAACAAATTATCCTGTTTGGAGCTCTAGTAGAAATATTAACACAAACTTTAATTTCCAATTTGGCAACTGCTGTCTTTTGATGTTAATTTTAAACGGTGCAAAACTCATGTAGATCAGTCAATGTAATTTTCTTTTTTGCTAACCCTTTCTTAAAGTAAATTAGATTTATTTATAATTAAAGCAAAATTTGGCTGGAAATTTTAATTAAAAAGTCTTAACTGAAGATGTGATTTCATGACAAACCTGTGTAATGCTACATATTGGTATGCTGAAGTTGTTAACTTCAGCATCATTTCTAATGCAAGCAATTTTTTGGTGTTTAGAATAAAGTGCATCTTTCCTATTTCATTTTTAAATATCAAGACCAATGTCTGTAAACAAGTTGCTGTGCAGTGCTGCAGTTGCAGTAAATCACTTTCTCTGTCAAGATTGAGGAGAACTACCATTCTTACTAAAGCATTGGAATTTGACCCACTTAAGTCCAGGCTAAGTCTAGTTTCTGATAGACTACTATAAAATGTGCACAATGAACAGCTAATGAGTTGTAACGCTTAATCTGTATCCTTCTTTTCCCCTTGCTCCAGCATCACTCAAATGTCAGCCCAAACCACTTCCAACTGGTACTGCTAAAACTTAAAACGCTATTTAATTTGGATTAGAGGGTTTCTTTCATAATTTGGAGTTGAACTAGAGTAAAACTCAATTCACCGTTTCCACTAACAGTGCAATGAAAGCAAGCCCAAAGATGAAAATCAAGTTTCATATGGAAAAATCCTGAATTTAACAATTTGCCTGCCCTCCCTCTCTGTTTACCTCCCTCCTGTCTGAGTTGTGTTAGCTGAAGTAGGTTAAAAATTAATACAATTTGGATATTTCTCTGAGGATCAAAAAAGGAGGCAACTTAGAATAGATGGATTCAAATGTCCTGAAAGAAAACAGAATTAGGGGGAAATTCCTAATCCTGCAGAGGTAGAAATCAATCTCCAATTTGAGTTGACTATCTGAGGAGACTATTTTGAAGTTAGTTCATATTAGAATAAAATCTAGAAGTTTGGAGAACTGAGTATTCTGTGAAAAGAGTATATAATGTCTTAGGTGTACACACAATAGTAAGAGAAATAAGTCTAAAGTACCAAAAATAATGAATGGACAAAGGATGGAGGGGGGAGGCCACTGTTGCATTTCCCTGTAAAATAGAATCTTGAAGTAGTGAGGTTGGACTGTGCCTTGCTTCCCTTGGTTCTGCCCTCTCCTCCCAGCTCTCAGTGAATGAGATAAGGTTCATGGCAGGCTTCTCCAGTTGTCCTTTGAAACAGATGCTCGGAGGGAGGCACCTCCCTGATATGGAAATCATTTGGTGGTGATTGTGAAGAGAGAAGACCTGCAGTTTCTTAGGTTTTGTTTAAGTTTTACATCTTTTCTGGGCAAGAGCACAAGACTAGAAAGAAGCTTGAAAGTGGCATTCTATTTTCAGAGAGGTGAGAGGACATTTTAGAGAAATCAGCTGCACGGTATTGGTGAGCTTGAGATGCAGGACAGAGGCCAGATTTAAATAAACTTTTTCCAGCCTAGAGGCTCTCTAGTTAAGAGGAAAATACACTAGCACAAAAAGTTTGCTTGTTACTAGCTTTATGATTGGAGGATGGGATTGGCAATTGAGTTGCGTTATTGGCTTTGACTGTTACAATATGTTCTGTAAACCAGACCAGCCACTGTTTGGGCTGAAGTCTGCATTTGTTCAAGTGATTTTAATCTTCCACCTTTTCCACCTTTCCATGCCCCGGTGAAGAGAAGTGGAAGCTGACTTCCATTAGACTTCCTCCAGTGGGTGGTTGCACGTTTGAGAGGACTGTGAAAGTGACTACCTGCCTACGCAAGTTACGAGAGTTTTAGTAACACAGAACTATAGAAATACTGTGAAAATGCAAGAGAAATGATAACTATCTCCTGCTTTTTCTACAGAAGTTAAACGGTAATAAGCTTAGGCTCTGAGGGCATTTATCTGACCCATAAAACATTGCATAGCACTGTAAACTGTCAAGTTTTTGTGTTCATGAGTGTCAAAACGGTTGGATTCTGTTCTTATTTTACATTTCCACAATATAAAATCCAATTAAATTTGGCATTTTTTTACTTGAACTGTTTTAATTTCATGACAATGGTAAGCCTCAAGTTGTGGCCTATAGCCACCACTGGTTTTTCAGTATTAAGGATTCAGAAAAATCCCAGGTGGCAGCATTGGCTCTGAGTTGTCTGCAGAATAATTGAAGAACTGTGGCCTGATAGTGACTTCACTGCCTTGGGAAAAAAAACAGATTTTCAAAACTTTGAGTTTATTGTTATGGCAGTGTTCTGTGAGTCATAATTTAGGTTAATCTTTGTGTCTGGAACAATGATTAGGACAGCAGTCTAGTTATTCAATGTAAATATTTTATTCAACGAAGGAAATATTTCTAGCAATAAACTTGCCGCACTGTGCAACATTGTACCTTGCATTATAATTTGTGGTTAATCTCAATATGGCAGAATTCCTGTCATACCAAAATAATTTGGACTTTATAGTATCTAGTACAGCTACAGAGAATACCAGTATCAGTATTTGATATTTTAATACATCTTTGTATCTTTCTTAAACTCAAAGCTTGTATTAATACATTGGTTTTGTGTCAGATACATGTTTGTATATCCATTTCATTCTGTCTTCACTCATAGGTTCTGGTTCACCAAACAATTCTGATGATGATGATCAAAAAATGAATAATTTTATAGAAAAGGGTACAGTATTTTTCTTTTCTGTAGTCTTATTTTTTTCTTCAGTTCATCCTTTGATACTTAGATTGATCTTTTTTATTAAAATATTATTTACAGTGAAGACCAAAAGCAGAAAGTTTTCCAAGATGGTAGCCAATGACATAGGTAGGAACTAGAAAAATTCTGCTCTGTTCCTAATCCAGTGCCTTACTCTATGCAACACTAACCCAGCAGCAAAAAAACAAAATGAAATTCAAACTTCAATGCATTGAGTTATTAATTTTTCATTCTTTATGCTAATTGGTAATTCTGTGGGCTGCTTCTGTACTAAATATGCTGGGCACAATAATTCCTAAAAAAATCAAGGATATTGGTGGTTTAAATTCTCTGATTTTACAAGTGTGCTTCTTTATTTTCTGGGTGGGTGAAATTCTAATCTGTACTAAGAGTTCAGTCTATGCAAGTCACAACATTATTCCACTACTTTTGCAAAGGTACGTTCTCTTTGAGAACATGTGGCTGATTTAATTTCTTTCGATGTGTTGCATTCATAGCCATATGGTCAGATTTCTATATGACTATGGTCAAGACAGAGGTAGTATCATATTTTCATTTAATCAACTGGAAGAGGACTTGGTCAAATATATATATATATAAAAAGTATACCCCATTACTGTTCCAGAACTCTATTTACTTTTTTGCATCCAACAGTGACACAATACCCTACCAACTCCAGACTTGTGTCTTAACAATTTGGTGACAAAATTGCCTTGGAATATGTTGTATGCAGGTAGATTGAACCCTTTTGTGATTGGAATGGAAGTTACCTCTGCTTCTGACAACTGGGTCATTAAATAAATGAAGGCGAGAGGCTGTATGATTTAGTTTTGGGAAAGGGACTCTTCTTCCTGAACTGGGATATGGTTTATTTTCACTTCAGAATCACTGTGTTAATAGTTCATTTTGTTTTCATTTAGTACATTAGTATATCATTGTAGGAGGATTTCATTTTATCTCTTTAGTCAGATCAAAAAGTTGAAACTACTTTATATAGTAAAGCTGTTTGCTAAACTACTATTTCATAGGTTGTGTAGAACCATAGGTTGACTAGAGAGGAAGAGATTTCTTTTCCTGTGGTATCCCTTTGATTTCCTGTTTGGCAATTTAACTTTTATCCTAAACCATTAATCCCTTTCATTGCAATTCAGTAATTGAGAAGAAGAGTCATTCAAAATTTGGTGAGATAAATGCAAGTATGATGAAGTAGTCTTTGGAATCTTTTTGGAGGTACAGAAAGAGGAAGAGCAAGAATATGCCCTGACTCAGTACTACGTTGAGCCCTTCTTGCAGTGATAACAGAAATGTTAGGGAAGTTAGTTCTGAGACAGTGGAAGCCTGGATATAATTCAAGAAAGCAAATAGCTGTCAACACTATATTATGTCAATTCATCTGTACTTAAAAAAAATTGAGTATCATTTACATGAGTATTGATTAATATGTTCTCCTAAAGGAAATTAAGGCTAACTAGAAATTCAGGTTCCGTTCCTCTAATGAGAAAAACAACCCTTAATCTTGTCTGTTATGTCAATGCCTGTTGATGAGGTAATGTTTCCCTTTTGTCCCAAAGCAATCTCTTCTGAACTTAAGACAGCCTGTCTTGTGCAAAAAACAGTGTTTGAGTGTGACTTCATTATTTTTTCACTTCTTTCAGAGTACTGTTAGAGTATTAATAAAACATGCTAATGACAAATATATAGAACTATTATCTGATTCAGCTTGAAGCCTTTCAAGTGAAAGTATTGTGCATGTTTTTCACAGCTAAAAAAGCAAAACATTTATTTAAAAGTAATGCATTCTTCAGGGTATAAGTTAAATGCAGAGTTAATTGAGACAACGTATTTGATGTGTAATTCATAAGTGTCTCCCAGTCAGCCCATACTGTGATTTGTGTAACTTGCACAGTTTATTGGAAGTTTAAAGAAACTTAATTATTTCATCTGCATTCTGTTAGTTTTGAGTGGTTCGATGCCGTGCACTGGATGTTTTTTTCACTGCCATGTTTTCTGTACCTTGTCTGGCATGTTTACTCTGCATGGCTCTTTCTGAACTTGTATTCTAAGCTCTTCCACATGAGTAAAACACCTCTGGTGTTAATAGTTGCATGTTTTTGCATTTCATTGTTTTAAACTGAATTGCCAACTAAATGTGAATGGACAATGAGCTTTGTAAAATGTGACTGTCACTACTGTCATTAACTTCACCATGTTGTATGAAACAAATTGTTTACCATCAGCTGTGTTCACATGGATGAATTTTGATTCAGGTAGCATGGTTCTAGCTCTTTGCACCGGCATATAGTGCAATCAGTTCAAGTTCTTTCCATTCTTTGTCAATGTGTGAAATATAACCTGTCAAATGGATTGTGAAACAGAACAAGAATTATTTACATTGATAAGTTCAGTTGCTGTTAATATCACTCCTGTGTTTTTTGTCACATGGGAATGGTGAGTAAGGGAATACTGCTTGCAAAATGAGAAATAATTTCATTTTAGTGATAGGACTGTAAAGTGGTAACATAATACATATGCATGTAGAAATATGAAGCCTTTGTCAATTTAATCATAATCATAAAGCCCTTGTATTGAAACTTATGTAGAGACATCTTCATTTCTACAGATTTCTAGCATTAGTGACAGTATCAGACAAGGATTCTTGCATCGTTAAAGGATCAAAAACCATCTAAGACTGCAACAATAGCATAAATAAAACAAAATGTAAATGCTTCATGTACCAACACTTCAGCTTTGTCACATATATTAAGATCAGTTGGTCTTCTGGGTTTTTTTCTAAATAGCTGTGAATGTTCCGTGCTAAGGAATGGGTAGTAACTCAAGTTAAAGACCTATTGTGAATATGTTGCTTTTGGGTCACATTTCCCTTTTATTTGCATCAGAGGTGAACTTCGGAAACGTTGCAATTACCTTGGATATATGGAGATACTTGCTTTAACTAACTATTTGTAGAAATTATAGAAAATACTGTGGCCATTACTAAAAGCAGCCATTTCTCTTAGGAATGGCAAATATTTGAAAGTATAAATAATGTGCTGTGAAGTAGTACAGAGAAGTGTGCCAATTGTAGATGAGCTTACAGGAAGAAGAATTGGTAGGAAGTACTGAATTTCTAAGGCCATGTCATTTTTATAGACAGGCATTGTGATCCAACTTCAGTAGAAAAAAAATCTTAGGCTGTTTTTCTTATACTTTGGTCAGTTAATTATTTGACATGAGATATATGCAATTAAATATATAGCTATGAATCAGGTCAGAAGTTAAGAGGTATCGTAATGCCCATTTCTGGAAGAAGCTTTAGTAAAGGTGCATGCAAAATATTGTAGACTCTAAGACCTTCATAGCTGTTCCAGTAGGCTACATGTCAAATACTTTTCAGGAAAATTGGTTTTATTTTCTGCAGTTTATAAATTTAAAAACAATTGCAAACAGTAGGCAGATCTAAGCAGAGTAGCTTTAATTCCAAGCTTCCATAATACCTGCTGTCACTATTGACATAAGTTTTCTCACATCTGTTACGTTCTAAGTGTACACCTAAATTTTTCAAACAGTGCTAAAGTCACTGACTGTTAGTGCTGTTTTCATGGAATCAAATCTTAAGATGCTCATAATAAGTTCTGATTTGCCTTAATGCCAGAGTAAGGCTGTTTCTTCCAGTGTGGTTTTAATACTTTGATCTAATTTTGGATATATAAAGTACATCTTTTCTTACATTCTCTTGTAAAATGTTTTTATTATTCTTATATCAAATTTAGAGATTTCAGCATTGATAATCTATTTCTCTATTGTACTGCCACCAGTACGATACTCAGTTCTTCAAGCATCTTGAAATTGGTAATGTAAACCTCTCACTTCTGTGTAGTTGTCAAATATAGAATAATTTGGGAACTTTGTCTGACAAATTCTAAGCTGCTTAGTTATTTCTCATGAAATGTTAAATGAAATAGGCTTCATGTAAACTGTTCTATTGTCTGTCAAAACACCAAGACACTTGTCTCTTTTTATAATCTTTAGAATTTTTTTAAAGGGTTTAGACTGTTTCCTTAAATAGTGATTTTTTTTTTTTTTTCATCCATTCCTTATAGCTTTCAAACTGATGTGCTATACATTGTAAAGCATCAGCTCAGGATGACCCATTGCAAATAAAATGTAACTATTACTTTTAAGCCACAGCTTCCTATTGATAGTTCAGTCATGTCTCAGCCTTCAGGTTTTCTTCATTGAATTGGTTGAGCCTGCCGTGCTGAAATATAACACACTATGCCAAGGTAACCTTTTATATTTTAACACCTGCCCCCTCAAGCCTGACCTATGAGAAATCTCCAAGAATCCTGAACGTTGTTTTTGGACAGTTCTCTAATACCATACTTTTATAGGACACAATTCTATATATTAGCGACAGAAGGAATGTGTGTGTGCCTGTGTATGACTCTAGGTTTTCTAATTTAGAGGAGTGTTAAATGTAGGTCTAAACACAGGCAAAATAGTCACTGTTGCCTTGAGCAACAGTGTGCCAGTAGGAGCAAAATGGCTCCACGGTCTCTGTCTCCTTGTCTCACACCAGCTGCGGAAGGGTAATCTTGGCTGTAAATGCTGCAGCAACCACCACCACCAAGAGGGGTATTAAACGCTGATATGACAGCTACTACTTGAGGTCCGCCATACCCAGCAGGTGCAGCCACCATCACCTTTGCCCTGTTGTACAACTGGAGTAAAAAGCCTGACATTGAGCATGCTCTCTGTAGATCTCCATCCTATATCTTCAGTTTCTCTGATTTATATCTTTTGTGTTGCAGAAGTTGTCTAGCATGTTGCTGTTTTTCATCTGAGGCATAGCAAAACTGAATTTTCCAAAACTATTGTAAACCATAAGCCAGATACGAATACAGGCAGGTTTTTTATACTAATGAATGTTAGTTAAAACTGGCTTAGCTGGTGGAATATTCCTATTTTCTTATTGCATCTTCAGGCACTTCTTTCTTTAAACGCAAGATGGCACTACTGCTATTTAAATAGGTTCTTGTTTCCTATTTACATTTGAATTATTGAGGTTTTTGACACGTTAATGTATGTTTTGAAATGTATTTTTTTTGCATAGCACATTAATTCATGATTTCTAGCAATGACATCTTTTTACCAATTTGTGTATCCTCTTGTCCTATTAATGAGGAGTAGTTCAGTGTTTGTGGAAAATGATGTCTGACAAATTTGTTCCACCTTATCAACCTACTTCACACCGCTGGCCTTTCACTAAGGAACAAAAAGCTAAAACTGTAGACTGACGCTTAGAATCCAACATGCTTGCTGTACTTGTTATTACCTGCTATATTACCTGTTACCTAGTATCTCTTTTGTCCGTTTTTGCCAAGTTGTTAAAATTGTGTTAAACATTTGTATTTGAAAAGCCAAAAGTGAACTGCTCTGGTCTTCAAAGTGACTAAGTTAATTAATTATTGCTGGTATTCGCACATGGTAAAAGCTGCGAAAAGCCAAAAATAAATTATTTTCTGTGTGCATACTTGAGCTTTTGTTCAGTATCTCAGCTTTTATGATTTACATGTCTAACACAGAAAACAGGTCTTATGATAAGGAACGCCCATCTTGTAATTCACAATTCCAGATGAGGTTTCATGATCTCTTTTCAAGCTGATGTAAGTTCAAGCTGACAGCAAAAAGATGGTCACACCTGGTCACTACTACTGTTTTGTACCATGGTTTTCTGTTTGTATAGCTGAGCGCTGATCTGAAACAGGAGTTGATCTTGTTGAAAACAACCATTGGCAGAAATTTCATTAAGATGAGTTTTGGCCTCACCATTAAGCTGGGCAGATGCCAGTGCCAATGCCAGGATGAGGGCAGAAAACATGTAGTTGGACTGCCCTTTTCAGTTTCAGCCTGCACTAAAATAAGTTAGTGCCTAGCAGTTCAATCTGAGAGTAAGTAATTTCAATTTAATTTGAATAGGACATACTTTGTAACATTGACACATGAAGGAAATTAGGAGATTATTTCTGGAGTCTTATTCTCAAATTTTTATAATGTATGACAGGAATAAAACTGTTCAACTATTCAGATAACTAGCATTTGCAATATTGATGAACATAATTGATGATAGAATGAAGTATTTCACTTTTTGAAGGAGTGGAAGTAACTAAATCACATGCTGTTCTTCAGGATATGTAGAAAATGAAATTATTTCTGTTAAAATGATAATTAGAATGAATTAACTCCATTTTTAGCTGAGAGAAGCAGCAAGATTTAGGCTGCTTTATGACTGGTATCCGTTACAAGGTACTCCTGGAATTATGAGGCTATTCTCAGCATCTACTTTACGTAGAGAAGTATTACCCTTACAAGATAATGAAGAATTACATGATATATCAAAATTCAAGCATGTGGCTGGGAAATAAATTCAGAGTCTAGCCCTGGTCTAGTAGTTAAGCTACATCAAAATTATTCCTTCTCCAGTAATTGTTGAAAGAAAGATGGAAGAGGGATGTATGGCTACTAGTTTACTAGTGACTTTTATTATAGCACCATTTGTTAGTATCGTACTGCATTTTAAATGGACTGCAAGATTTCCATTCCTATAAAGAGAATTTTCCAAGTCAGGGATGAGTTTGAGTGCTATTTTTTACTTCAGCAATATTATCAAAATTATACTATCTTTTGTTTGACAGTGTTGCAAGTGTTTGTATGCTGCTGATTTAATACTTATTCTCTGTAATGTCTTCATTCTTCTGAGGTTGCAGATTGCATGTCAGATTATTAGCTTTTTACACATGTGCATTAATGTTTTAGTATAATTAGAAGTTCATCTTTTCTCTATTTTAAATATCTCAGGTTTGCTCAGGAAGTAGGGCAGAAGAAGAGGGGATGGGATGTTAACTTTATGTAAACTTCAGTGCACATTCTTGCAATAGCCAAGAGTCTGTGTTCTGTCCTCTCACCTGAGGAGATAAAACTTGAGGTTGAGCCAAAGCAAAATTCATCCAATCCATCAAGTTCTGCCTGAAGCCTGAGGAGAAATGGAGCTTGGCAAAAGTCATAAAATGCTGTATTTGGGGGTTTTGATATCTTCCACATTTTACTTTGCACCCCTCCCTTGTGGAAGTGAGGCTCTGCTTTAGTAGAAATCCTGTTAAGTACTGCAATTAATGTAATAAACAATGATATATTAAATATTGGGAAAGAAGCAAATAAAGGCCAGCAGAATCATGTTTATTCTTTTTAAAAAAAAAAGATGTACTTCACTTTTCAGCAAAGATGTCCAGGAAGCTAAGTTTGCCAACTGAGTTAAAGCCTGATTTAGGTAAGTAAGTTTACATAGCTGATTTTATTTTTACTGAAACTGTTTTACAGAATGCAAATATGTTAAAGTAAGAGTCCTAAATTATGTAAACTATCATGACTTTGTTGCATTTATCTGAAGCGTAGAACTGAAATTTTAATTCCACTCTTTTTGGGGGCTCTCAGGCACAAAATGTCACTGCTGTCATCATAAGGTAAGCCTGCAAATCCTTGTACATGGCTTATCGCACTTTCATCACAATTTTTAGGCATCTGTCACTTTATCAGTAGTGCTGTGATAGCAAAAGCATGAATAAACAGGTAATGTAAGGAAAATTGCTGCCTGTTTAGAACCATCTGATGCATTTTAAATTGAAAAATGAAATATCTTAACAACAGGATATGTTGAGGCCCACTCAACAAATAGTTGGGCATAGTTTTACAGATGTTAATTGTCTTGTGACCACTCTCTCTAAATGAAAATAATATACAGCTGTTTAGATAGATGACCAGTCTGATAATTTCATTTTTCTTGAAAAAGCACAGTAAGTTTTTACATAAGAAGCAGTTCAGTTGTGAAGACTGTAGTACTAAAGGTCATTATATTGCATAACTAAAACAGCATACAAATGAGTAGATTTATTATTTTTTTTAGTACTTGACTGCCAGCTTGTAGATCAGATCCAGCTCCCCTGCCTCATTCTCTAAAGATGATGGGGGACAGCTGTAGACCTACAGCAGTAGAGGCAGCCTGAATGTGAAAACTGCCTTCTGCCTGCCACAGCTCGCTTCCCCTCTTGCAGCAGAATTGCTACCACAGGCCCAGCAGAAGACAGACCAGGATCAGACTGGCAGCTGCAGAACTGTGTATTTGACAACTGCTGCTATCAGCAAGGAAAGAGTCCATGGCACTGAGAGATCCTGAAAATGAGCTGGACCACCCTGATTTACAATTGCAGCTTGCTCCACTCAGAGAAATGTGAAGTTGGAAGGAACCCTCAGAGATCCTTTAATCCATTGCTATGGCAAGGATCCAGATGTCTGACAACTTAACCTCTCATCTATCCATGAGGCTCTAATAAATAAGTTTTTAGAAAAATCCCAGACAGAAAGTTCCAATGTTTTATAGTCAGTTAGACAAATTTCCTGATGTTTAATCAATCTTCCTTACTTCCGTATTAACTTTTTCTTGTCCTTTCCACAATGAACAGGGATAACAAGTGCTCCTTATCTTTTTGTTAGCCATCGTTTATGCTGTTGAAAGCTGTAATCTTCATTTTTGCAGATAATTTTTTTACGAAGTTCGGTTCCTTCTTTTTTAGGTTATGTTGTCTAAATCTAAGATGGCTTCTGGTAATCTCCTCTGGACTTGGACTTTCTCCTTATCTCTCTAAAACTCTTGTGCCCAGAACTAGAGGGATTTAACTGTGGCCTTGTTGGCACAAAAGAGCAGAAAACTTTGATTTCTCTTTTCAGTCTGTCTGTTCTTCCTTACTACGTTTACTAATGGTTTAGGGATAATTTCAGTTTAGGGTGAATTTTATCATACTTTGCAATCTGGACCACATTTGTACTTAAATATTATCCAATTCATTCTAATTCTACTGTTGTTTTACTCCCAGTTCTTTGATAGCAGTAAGTACTTAGATGGTTCTTTTCTTTCCTGAAGACTGGAGAAAAGAGAATGCTGAAGTTCTTTCAGCATTTTCCACTCCTGAAAGAGTTTCAGCATTTTGTACATCACTTAATACTTGCTGTTCTTTCTACTGAAATAATGGCAATTTTTTTGTCATCTCACTTCTGGTATACTCATAAAATAGTTTGTACCTTCCGAACTGTAATAGCCTTTGACTGGTTTTGCTTGACTTTGTACATGTGTGGATATCTGCACTTAGATGCCTCATTTTGTTCTGTGTAAAATTATTATAGGTTTTCAGGTCTGTAAATAACTTCCTTAGGCAATTATAATCTCTTTCTTATTTTACTTCTGTCTTTCCTCCTAGTGGGATAGCTTTTGCATAGTGTTCTTCAGAAATTGTCAGCTTGTTTGTATTTTTTGTCACTTATGCAGCTATATCTACTGGCTCTAGGAGACGGCTGAAATGCCCTTTTCCCAAGTTCATTATCCTTATCATTGTCTCTCCGTTCTTTCCATGGCTTCTTGAAACCTCCTCTTCCATGATGTCGTTCTTTCAAATTACTTTTCTGTCTTTAGATCTTTTTAACCTACCCCTTTTCCTCCCTAAATAGCCAAAACAAAATCTAAAGTATGTGCTTCTGTATTTATCCTCTACTTTCTAAAACAAAAGTTATCTTGAAGTCTGCATTATACCGTTGCTTTTCAGTGTTGTAATCCAGATGATTAAGATACCATTGCCACTAGGTCCTGTCCTTTGTTTTAGTGGCTCAAAAGAGCCTCATCTTTCCGTCCTTCTGAAGTGGTGTGTAGTGGGTCATCACACTGTTCCTTCCTCTTCATCTGAAACTAATCCCTTAACACACCGTAGATTCTTCCTTGACTTCAGGATAAATAATATGCACTAATGCAGTGAAACTCTTTACCCCCAGTTCTCTTTCCTGAATGAGTGTCCACGCACCACAATGCCTGTATTGTCTGGCAAGTTAATTTTTATGGGGTTTTCCCTGTCCATTCCAATGCTTCTGGAATTTGTATACATGCTCTTCAAATATTCAACCAGATGCAACTCAATAAAGGCACATTTAATTTTATGCCTGTTGCAGTTAACGTATGATTATATTTAGACTGATTAATCCATGTTAGAGTAGAAAAAACATTGTTAGTAAATACTCAAGCCTGAAGAAACAAGCATCTTAAGAAGTTGTGGTCATTAAAAGAATTATAAAAACAAATAATTGTTTTCACTGTTTTACTTGAATTTGATTTTTTTTAAATGTGAAAACTTAAAATGTCAACATCTGAGTGGCTGACCTAGTTTCTTTTTATAATCCATCTTTTACA